CCAAAAGTTAATTTTTGATATTTAAAGAATTTTTCGTTAAAAATATATGCATGGTGTTTCCAACGTTACACTTTTAGATTCCTAGACTGTAATACCGTTAAATTCGACCGTTAAGTAGCATGTGTTACCCCTATATCTTTTTTAATTCCCTTCCTCTCTTCTCCCTCCCACCCACCCACCCCATGCCTCCCTCTCAATCCCCCCCCCCCCACCCCCAACACCCGCCCTCTCTCCCTCTTCCTCAAATTCCCTCCCTTCCCGTGACCATCACCCTCCATCCCAATATTTAAGATTATTAGGATTAGATTCCAACTGAGTCTTCAACACATTAAATTTAGAGATAGAGATTTAGGGGTTTGAGGCAAAGGCAAGGACAGTGACCAATCAATGGGTGAGCGATGACGGGGTGACTTTTCGACAACAGAGATGGTGGCAGAAGATGACCGACGACGACTGCATATGGATTTGAAATTAAGAATTTTAAAGTTTTAGGAATTTTTTTATAATACTAAAGAAATTTGAGTTTTTAAATAAATTATAATTTTTTTTATTTTAAAAATAATTTTTTAAAAATTTTACAAGTTTGACACTTATCAAATAACGGTATTGACGATTACAGTCCAGACCCTAAAAATATAATACCAAAAAAGTATAATATAAAAAATATTAAACACTTATTTTTAACAAAAAAAAATTTAAATGTTAAAAATTAACTTTAGATAGAGTTTGAATACTTATTTTTACATTAACTGTGAAAACATTATAGTGGTACTTAATGAGGCGGATATTACTCGAATGATCATGAGTAAGCCTATGAGGATCACTTTTCATTAAAGAAAATGGTACTTGTAATAGCAAATCACATGTTCCGATATAAGTGAAAGTTCATAATATTTCTATGTCTAGACTAAAAAGTGAAGGAAAAAGAACGGACAAGAGTTGCCATACACACAATTGAGAGCCCTTGAATCAGGATAAATGCAAAATTCTATGTTGAAGATAAAGTTATACAATTTTAGGGGTAAAGTTATAAAATTTTATAAGTGTAAAATTAAATTATTAATAAAAAATACATAAAAAATATTTAAACTATATGAGAGATTAAAATTTTCAAGAGTATGATTATCCTGCAGCTGTCAGCCTCCATTGATCCATCCCTTCTTTGAGCTTGATCCTTTGTCATCTTTGCGAGGCGAGAGAAACCATATTTATAGCTGTATACCAAAGAATCTTTGGGTGTTTCTTGGCTGCCATAGTTGACAAAATTAAGCTTGTAGTTTCCAAAATCTATGAATCTGTACTTTAATTTCAAGAAAATATACTTGACACAATATTAGTTCATCATAAGTAGTTGTTTTCGTTTTGAACCTTCCAAGAGCAGTTGCAAGCATGTCGTGATGGGTTCTTGTCAGAAGCTCAACATCATGGTGCTGACCTTTTCCCATGAAAACCTGCCCAGTTTTACACAAAATTTACCTCCTTGATTGAATATAATCAGCTTAAAAATTCAAAAACAAATGGATGATCATTCATGGTACTCCTAGAATCTGCAATAGCTGGCAACACATAATAATGCATGTGTAGAATCAGCAGTAAGGCAACTAAAACAAACGACATAATCATAGTGTTCATGAAGAAGAATGGTCTTTTCTTTGGGGTGGGGTGGGGGTGGGGGTGGGGGAGGGGGCGGCGGCAGCAGCAGAGGGGGGTGAGAGAAACTAAACCCTTGTTAATTTCTTTCTTCGGGTGACACATGCGATAGAAATTGGGGTAATATACAAAACATCTAGTTTCCAATATGATCATTTTTAGTTGGTTCAGGAGCAAAATACAGCAGCTTATGGAGAATTGGTTTGTAAAGTACATGTTAGCTTAACTAAATGGTCAATAAGAAGTTGACCTGAGGGTGCTGTCTTTGAACCTTCTAATGTCTATGGCCTGGTACTCTTTCTGGGTTTTGAATTGAGGATCAACAACGGGGATAGTTCAGTTGGGTGAGTCTCAGTTGGGGAACCTGCAACTCTGTATCACACACCAGAAAGGAAGCTCATATCTCCACTTTCAACCACAAGAAATGCATGAAAACTGAAAAGAACACGTATAGCAAACACATGGTTCCCACCAACAAAAGCTATTCTTATGTTAGGCAGAGCAGCAAGAAAAAGAACATGACATTAGCCAAATGAGTTGGTAATCTACTAGGTACATACATGATACGCAACTTTGTAATGCTTAATGGAATGAAAGCTCTTGAATCAAAAGGAAATGTGTTCTTTGCCATATGATATAATTGTTCAAGGAGAAATAAAATCAGTTCACTAGGTTTGCCTCTTTTAAAAAAAATTCTGAAGTAGAAGCTCTAACTTTCCAGCAATGAGTTCTGTGATTGGCCTAGTTGGTGTGATGCGAGATCACTTTTCCTCTACTTGCCATGTTGTAGTTCTGATCATCAAGGTGCAATCACAGTGGCTAATTAAACAATTATTGACATTCCGGAGAATCAAGAAAGCTCGGAGGAAGTTTCTGATTGGGTACTGTGAACAATTTACAGAAATCACCCTAAAGCTTCGTTTTTCGTTCCAGTTGTCAATCAGTAACCAGACTTTCTTCTTTCTTTCTGGTTGAGAACCCGTTAGCTGACTGTTATAAGAGCTTGTTGAGGGACATTCCGGTCTCAGGGGTTTTCTTCTTTTCTTCATACCAGTGCTTAATCCTGTCATCAAGCTTGTAACCAAGAAATGCAGGGAAAGTCAATAGCTCGGTAACATCTCGGGCCATGTCCTCTGTCAAATACTCCATCTTCCCCTCTAAAGAACTAGGATTATACAGCAATATTTGAGGGTGTTTCTTGCTCATGTAAAAGATATCTTCGTAAGAAAGACTGTAACTCAAGAAGAGGCCGATTACCTTTTGCATATTTTCGCAACTAGTTCTGGTGACAGCACCCAAAGCGGCTGCAAACTCTTTTTTCCTATATTCATAACCAATCTTCACCAAAAACCCAAATTTATGAGCCAGGTTATCTTCAAAGGAAAGGGCCACAAACAAGGGGCCCTTGTCAAGAACTTGAAAATGTCATTAGAATTAAGTCCACATTGCTCGAGAAACTCGATTCTAGGACGCAACTTCCTCTCTTTGCTGGCACTAATCACATTTGGAAACAAGAGAATAATCTTGAATATTTCCTGGTCACTGAGACCAACATATAATCTCTTGAAATCCACATGACCCTCCATATGCTCCAAACTATAACTCAAAATGGCGGGCAGTTTGCGCAACACTGTCCCAGTGGCATTTGTATCGCCTCCACTAAGCTTTTCAAGAAACTGAATTTTTGGAATCAACTGAGAATCCAAATCATAGTTGAGAACTGAAGGACGCCTAACTATTATTTCAATGCCATGATAAGGTTTCAAGAAATTTATGGTTCTTTCAAATTCTTCAACAGACTTGCAACAAATGGCTTTGTTCAAGTTGACATTGTTGAGAACATGAACTATCTTCTCCAGGGGAACTTCATGATGAATGAGTAGTTTAACCTTAGGATCGAAACCAAGCAAGAATCTCGCATCCATTGTAATAAAGAGACGTTCGAGTTGTGCTGGCTCGACCTTTCCTTCTAAATCATCACGCACAAAACTATTCACTGAATCAATTTCCTCAGCAATTAGTACAGTTGGACATTTAATGACCAACCGATAAAGACCAAACCCATTGATACCAACAGACTGTAAAGCAAGAACCCGAGCACGTATTCTGTCCAAAGACGTCGATCTCAAAGTCGGGTTCTTGTCCCAAAGTAATTTGGTTTCCTTTTCGTTTAGTCCAGTTTCTCTGAAGACCGAAAACAGCATACCTCACACAACTAACACAGTCAAATCTCGAGAGCAATAAGAGTTTTATCAGAATCTATTAAAAATACTCAGAAGAGTTGCGAGTACGAAAAGTGTTTGACAAATTGCCTCAAAGAGAGCGAACTACAAACCCTTTTCCCAGTGAAGAGAGATGGCCGTGTCTACGCAGTTACATTGGATGAGAAAACGATTAGCCGGTCGGGGACACTTGAATGGCCTGAGTTCAGTACCTGAGGTCTTATTAACACTTACCAGAGAGAACCACTGGCGGGAGCGAGCAGTTGGATTAGCGCACAAAGAAACAGGTAGAAAACAGAAAAGAGGAAAGACAAAAGGAATCTGTAGACATGGTAATCGCGGTCACCATATTTGGGATTGGATGAGCTCAATCTCACCAAACGTTGGGGCTTCTACCATAGAGAGTGCTTGAAAATAGATGGCAGGCCTTGGTCGTGACAGTGGTCCTGGTCCCCTGAAGATGGCTCTTGCCACCTGAAAGGATGGTCAGCGTGGTTCATGGCGAAATGTATATCAGAAGTAAGCCCTCGGCCGTGTTGAAAATAGAGTACCCATTTTATATCAATTTGGGGAAGGGATCACGGTTCTAACTCTAAGCATTCCTCGTTGGACGATTCGACATAAAAAAAATAACAATTTAACTTGTAATTTTATGAATCGTAAAAAAAATTTACATCAAATTTGAAGTATCAAACATGACTCAAATAACTCGAATTCTTTAATAATTAATAGATTAATTTTTAATTTCTAGTTAAGTGTTTTTAACTCTACAGAATATATATCATAAAATCAATTAGTATGACAACATTATAAACATTTATAATTAATTTTAAACAAACTCAGACAACTCAACACAACACAAATTCCATAAATTCGACTTGAAAAATTTAAAACAAAATTAAAGTTAACAAATAAGACACATTAACTAACTCAAAATTTTTTTAACTCGACTTAATCGAATCCTCACTTCAAACAAATGACATCTCCCATTCATATCAAGTTTGAAATTTAGTATTACTTTTTATATTTATATTAATATTTTAAATTAAACATAAATCGGTCTATCCCAAATTAAAAAAAAATACCATAATTGATCAAATTTTGCCCACAATCAGAACTTTTACAGAATGGTTCCGATCTCTCATGTTGTGCATCAGGTAATTCCATAGGTGATTCTGTTTACAGGGGGGGAAATGAGCTTCTGATTGAAACATCTAGCATGTCCATATTCTCAAATCTAAATATAAATTTTCATATTACTTTTTATCAAGTAAATTAATAAATAGGCTTAGCTATTTTGCCAGACAGGCTTGATGGATTTACAACGTCTTATATTTCCTCTGAGAGTCCTTCAGGCCATTCTTATCAAGCTTTGCTCCATTTTTCTTGTCTGTAGGAATAGCCTTCATAAGGATAACAGAAGAACCTCCCTTTGCTGATTTCCGAGGTAATCTGGAGAAAGGAAACCTGGATGAATTAAATTTACAGCACAGACAAGTCGAGTAAATTAAAATGATTGAGTAATGGAAGAAAATAAGAAAGGAAAAGAAACTGTGGTAATTTGATGGTCTGCTTGCCTCTTTCTAAGAACTTGGGTAAGATCATCAGCTGCCTCGTTGCGAACTTCTTCCCTTTTATCATCTGGAGGAATCCGTCCCTTGCATAGAAGATGAATATATAAACAAGTTAGAATCACTTGTTATTAACCTGTTGATGGTTAACACACTTTCTGAAAATGGGGGCATTCTCTCCACTACGTGAACATACACATATAAATGACCGACTCATATAAACCATATTCAACTCATATTTCAACTGAAGAACACATACATACATATATAAACAAAATTTCTAGTGAATAACTACAAGGATTAACTTTTTTATAAGAAAACAAAATTTACTTCCATCAAGGGAAAATTTGAAGATCAAACCAAATGTTTCCAAGGAACTCAAAACAATAACTCCACAAGGAACAAAAATTCAGGATAGTTAAAATTCATATAATATATGATTATCATTGCAGACTGAAAAAACTGATTACCGTTAGCCTCTAAATATCGGGATGCAAAATTGTAACTAGATTTACGTGTCAAAGCTACACATTTATCACGACTGGCATAAATAGCACAAGTTTTATACAAAACTGAAAGCATGGTAGAAATTCAAAGGACGCATCTCCATATGAAAGAAGCTTTTATAAGAAGCTCAATAACGAAATTGCTATTAGTGATTTCCAGAGTACAGAAAGCAATAAAAACAGGTATTATCTCTGTTGTCATTTCTCAAAACCAAAATTAAATCATTTGCACCTTAGAAAATCTTAACCTTGCAGTCACTTTGCACCATAAGTTTTATTAGTACCTACCTATATATTGAGCTATTTTTTTATTTAATCACCAATCATCAAGTTAGAACATCCCCATAAAATTAAATAAACAAAAGCTTGAAGATCACTATACAAATAATATTATCAGTTTCAAGAACATCTGCTGAAACATAAAACTGAATACTACTATGTTAGTCAAACTCTTCATTTGCAAAGTACTCATGTCTAATTCCTATCTTGACATAGCTTCGTTCTATGACTTTCCAAAAATCCTCCAAATATAAGTTAAATCTCAGAAAAAGTAAATATACCCGTATCAAACACATACATGTATCCAACACTGGCACACCAGTCTAAGTTACATGGGAATTCTATCCCCTCTTCAGCAGAAAAGAAAAAAAATGCATCAAGAATAGCTGAAGTTAACAGCATGAAGAATAGCCTACCACTGTGGAAAGAATTAGAAAACAAGTATCTATTATATCGAGCCCATATTTTTCAATGTTATAAGGTAACATGTTAAGATAAATAGAAAGTCAAAACTAATATCTTCAGTGTTTTGAACAGCTTAAAACAACACCATACTTAGACAGCTTCAATCAAACCCAGAAAGTGTAGCAGAATTGTATTCACTTGTGTGCAACATTATCATCATTCCCATCTAAGTAAAGTCAATAATTTACATAAACAACAACCTTTCACACTTCCAAAGCCATCAAAAAGTGCAAAAACAACATAGAACATTGAGCCACACATGCAATACTGAACTCTTCAATGAAAAACTGAAAACAAAATGGTAATTCACTACGAATGACTGAACTTCTAAAAGCTCTCAGCATGCATATCAATACACAAAACTGAATCCCAGTTAACAAAATAACAGTGATTGATTTAAAAGAATTATTAGAAAGAGCATTGAGGACATGTAACCTTAAATCTTACATGATTTGTAGGCGACCCACATTGTGTTCCACTGGTTTCTTTCAATGCCCCCAGCTCCAAACTCAAAATCTTCCGTTTCTTGTTACAAACACCATTGTCGTCAGATGGAGGAGATGGTTTCCTCTTCTTTCTACCAATGGTGCGTGATTTTCCTTTCTTGTCTTTAACTTTCCAGATATTTTTCCTCCTGAAGATAAGCTTGTCAACTTTCCACAACTCGCAGCTCGTGTCTATTACCGTCACTTCACTTCTCGAGTACCCTACCAGCTCCCCTTCTCCTTTGTCTTCAGCTTCTTCTTCTTCTTCCAAGTTATTATGTTCGCTCCCTTGTTCCGATTCCCTCTTCGCTTCTTCCCTTGTACTCAACGACCTCGTTGAAACGATGATGTCCTTGTCTTTTCTTACGTTATCGGAACTGTTTTTCTGTTCCTCGGTAGAATCAACGTCGGGAGTGTTGGAAATGCAAATTCTAGGGTTTGTTTGTTTCCTGGAAGATTTTTTCTTGGAAAATCTGGTGGTTGGGGCTTGTTCGCCCATGTTAAAGAGCTCCGACAGGACATTGGTCATTATACCAAACCATTGTCTATCTCCGGAGGGCTCGGCGGATGTCACCTCCGGAGGAGGTGGTGGTTTGGGATTATGGAGTTGTTTATCGTTGGAGTGAGTTGACTCGGCATTTGAATCCGGAGAATCGGAGGCATTGACGAGCGGAGAACCGGGAGGGTTGGGATTTGCGAGGAAATGGTCGAGGTCAAGGTTGTCGGCGGCGGGGAACCCCTTGCTAGAACGAAGCCGGTCCAGCCAGTTCGAACCGGACTTAGCGGTCGGGAGAGAACAGAGCATTAGGTAACGCAAGATTGAGCTGGTTTGGTTTCACCAAACAAACCATCTGTACTATATCCTTCACAACACGAGCATAAGAAAGGCCTGGGCTGATTATGTACTGGATTATTAGGTCCATTTTATAGCCCAATTTAAAGGGTCTTCTTTTTTCAAATATCACCAGCATAAATCTTTATACTCAAACGACCTTCATGTGAACCGATTCTAGAGTGCGGATTACACTTCTTTGTATTAGACAATCTTCAACAGGATCGTCGTCGTCATCTATAATTTACTCGGTATCAATGTGTATTGATGAGATAAATTGATTCATTGACACGTTAAAGTCGCATGGTAATAGATGATGACTTGTGAAAAATAGATGATGACTTGTGAAAAATAATGATTGCAAAGATGTCGGGTAAACAATAGACTATTGAATGGAATTAACAAAAATTCGATGAATGATGTCAGTGAATAGGAGATCGGTAACTGAAATTGTTGTGATAAAGGAACAGTTTCATTCAATATCGAAACGCATACAGCATACATCGGGTCAGTGGTACTGGTATATAAAACCCTTGCATTGAACTCGACGAGACCGGAACATGCTGCACCAACGGGCTTATGACAACGGTTGCGTAGACTATGGTAGTCCGGACAGTGCTGATGAGAACGAATCATTCCTCTTCTCTGATTCTCTCTTATCCGATTAATTAGAAGTTTAGAACATTGGGTCATAGGAAAGTATAGGGAGGGATCTTCAAGTGTTGTGTACATTTCTTTTCTTCACAGATAAGCCATTGCTTTGAGTTAGATTCTCTGGGAAGTAGTACAACCAAAGTGCTCAACTCTGCCACATTTTTCTTTTTCTTTTTCTTTTTCTTCCGTTTAACAATCTAGTCCTATCCCTTTACTTAAAAGACTCGGAAAAATAACAAAATGGTATGAAAAAGAAAAGTAAAACTATGATGCACATATTTTGCTTTACCATGTTGAAGCTGGTCAGCTAAGATCTTACAGTTTCCCTGTACCGACAAGTGCCTGGCAGTGGCAGCTATCGTGAAATTAGTGTGACTGTATCTGTATGGCAGGCAGGACCACCAATCTGCGAATCCAAGGAAAAGCAAATGTTCCACACATTGCCACAGCCCTATATTTTCTGCACTCACCAAAATTGAATCCCAATGCAGTCCTAATTAATAACATTCAACTCAGTGTTTTGACTAGTCTATCCAATCACATCTCCAAGCTCCTTTATCTCCGTCTATCTAAAAAGTTACACAATTAGTAGTAATTTCGATTACAACAGAGAATCTTGCATGAGTTTATTGACGATAACCTTTTAGATTGCAACTAGAATAGTTATGCAATTTATATGATTTGTTATGAATAACATAATATTTTTGGTTCCAACCTAAAACATTTCATAGTTTACTTTAAAGATACCGGTTAAAACCGATTGCAATCTTTTTTAGCCTTGTACTAACCGGTTGTATTTTAGAATTCCCTGACCTCTTGCATTTAAAGATATCAACTACTACATATGGAGACTGGAGAGGCTCCCATGACGTGTACAAATCACCGTTAGTCTTTTGTTATATATTATATAGCTGCTTTAGCTTAAGCTTTGCTTTTTGTGCCAAATCCATCTTTCATGGGGAAGATTGGAGGAAACTCTTGGTTGGCTGCAGTGAAGAAGGCTTTTAGGTCACCTAACAAGGAAAATAAGAAGAGGAGCTCTAGGAGGAGAGAAGATAACGAACAAGAGGAGGAAGAGAAGGTTCATTTCTCTACATTTTTGCATTGATTCTGTTTTGCGTCAACTTTAAATCTTCTTTTTTCTCCTTTTTCTGGGTTATTTTGAACAGAAAAGAGGAAAACGAAGATGGGCTTTTAAGAAGCCTTCACATAATGAAACAATAATACATCACGGTGAAGCAAAGACTTTGACTACTACTACAAGTAGTGCTAAAGAGGCCACCATTCCCGAAGGTGGTGAAGCTGAGAAAAGGCATGCCATTGCGGTGGCCATTGCCACTACAACTGCTGCTCAAGCAGCAGTAGCCACAGCCCAAGCAGCTGTTCAAGTCGTTCGCCTCACTAGGCCTTCTGTTTTCGTCACACGACGACACCTTTCTGCCATTGTTATACAGACAGCTTTCAGAGGACATCTGGTAACTAAATGTTTGTTTTTCTGGCTGTAACCAAGTAAATATAGTTCATGTTTGGGATAACGTCCCCTAGTGTTTTTGCAGGCAAGGAGAGCTCTCCGGGCACTAAAGGGGCTGGTGAAGCTTCAAGCGTTGGTGCGAGGCCATAATGTTCGAAAGCGAACGAATATTAATTACACTGAGGTGCATGGAAGCTATGGTTAGAGTTCAAGCCCGCATGTGTAATCAACGTAAGAAGCTTTCTGCGCATGAAGCAAGCTCGGAATCTGTATTTAGTGACCCCAACAGCACCATTGTAAATACTACTTTTTCTTAAAGATGACTTAAGTTTCAAATGGAAACTGTGTTTTTTGTTTATTAAATGGCCTGGTAAGTTGATGTGCAGTGTAGGGAAGAGATCTGCAATGTGGATGATTGGATACACCCGAAAACACTGCAGGAGTTTCGAGGAATTCTGCAGAAAACAAAGGAATCTACCTCGAAACGTGAAAAGGATCTTTCTCATGCCTTCTCTCACCAGGTTAAATGATGTTTCCATCTCTGAACTATGTTGTTTGCTAGATTTGCAAACATAACTGATGAAACCATAATATATATGCATCTGTTTCATGAAAAAAAGATTTGGAGAACTGAAAGTGAGGAAGAAGAGGGAAAAACCAAAGGGAAAGATCGGTGGCCGACTGGTCGGATGTCGTGTGACCACATAGATCACATAAAAACTGTTGAAATCGATACCGGTAGACCTTACTCCGACCAACAACAGAGGCCTAGTTCATTTTGCGTCGCCTCCTCTGTCCACAAAGCCAACAATAGTCTCCCCATTCGCTCAATCATCCCATCAAAACCAAAGCCTCTCCAAAAGTACTCGGGTAGCCCTCACTACCTCAAAGAAGAGAAGAGGCACCCACCACCACCACCTCATGCACCAAACTCTTGCACCCATGGAATTCCAAACTATATGGCAGCTACAGTATCTGCTACGGCTCGGTTTCGGTCTCAAAGTGCACCGAAGCAGAGGCCTCCAGAGAAGGAGAAAGTGAGATGTGTCAAGGAACGCCTGTCGTTTGCAGACCCCGACCAATGTGGTGTTAGAAGGTGCAATGATCATGTTCAGGATTATAACTCAGAGCACAAATCGAGCTTATCTTCTTATCCAGATAGTCTTGGGGAAGAAATCTTTCCACCTTCAACGAATGATATTAAGAAGTGGTTGAGGTAAACCAAACGAAAGCCTCACTGTTTTAAGTTGGAACAGAACTAAGGCAATGCTGCTTGTAAACTTCATTCCAATCATAAAAGCTAGGCCTAGAACTGAATGTATATGATGGGAATCAATTGTGACAGCGTCTTTACAAGTATGTTATTTGACAATTGATAATTAAAGCATCTATTATCACCAAATTTATTTGGTCAGTGTTGTAACATCATAACGATAATTATCGGCAAACAAATAAACACGATCGAAAAGGAAAAACAAAGAATACCAAGATTTACGTGAAAAACCCAAAAGGAAAAAACCACCAGCAGATGAGAAGAATTTTATTAATATGAAGGAATAAAATACAAGAGGATTTTGGTGGAAGAAAAGAATTTGATATCTAATCCTCACCCTTAGTATCTATTTATAGGGATATTTATTTGATTCTAAGGGGGTGTTTGGTTCAAGGATTGTGGGATTCCCATGGGATGAGAATCCAACATTCCCATATTTGGTTGGCCGGGAATCTCATTCCCGGTAATGTTTTATTACCAATAGTAGATTTTTTGGGGTATATTACCGAGAATGTCATTACCTCCCTTCCCTTAGGTATTGTAACATTACCGGCGTTTTGGATTAAAATGGTTTTAAATTTTTATTTTTTTTTCAAAAATATCCTTCTTCTGTCATTGAATAATAAAAATTCTACGAAGGTTAAATTACAAATTTATCCTTAAATTATTTTAGATTTACAAAAAAAAAGTCTATAATTAAAATTTTATATGAAGTTCAGTGGTTAAAAAAAATTTACCCTTTCATTAAACCTTTTTTATATTTTTTATTTTGTAAAACAAATTATATAAATATTATGAATTTAATTTTTTAAAGAAAATATATAAATTTTTTACAATTTGTAATATTATACAAATATATAATGAGGACAATTTGGTCAAATATACATTCCAATAATCTTTTATTCATTTAACCAAACACGGTAATCTTACATTCCGTGAACCAAACGCACCCTAAAGGAAAACTAAATAAATTAGAAATCTACTTTAATAAAGTTTTATACTTTTAATCAAACTAAGTTTCTTACTTTCTTAATATTTATATATTAATTAATTTGTGTCACTTTAAACTCGAGTCAAACTCTAATAAAATACTACATTCGATATGACACACAAACTCAACAAAAAAAAAATCAAACATATAAAACAAACTATCAAAATGTCAAGAGTCATCAAACAGAAACATTTTGGAACAACTAACTGGTAAGATATAACACAGCAACCCATCAACTTAACCACAGACTGAATTCACTTAAACTTCAAAACGCGATTGGCCGACCGCTATTGCATCCATTACAGAAAAACCGAACAAACGAAGGAAACCAAATCATATCAACTGGCTGAGTATTCCATAAAACTTCAGCTACGGATATTTGTTTACCATGAGAGGTCCGAGAGGAGAAACGAAGGAACCGATGTCATCGTTAGGAAACATTATACTGATATACTCTGTTGTTTTAAACTTTCCACTTTCCAGAGCAGAGATTTGCCTATCCAGGGGCTCATGAAGACTTCTCAGCTTGAAACAAAGGGGGGAAATGCAAAATATAAGCTCACAACATAACTGAAGGCACCAAACCAATCCAAAAACTATCCATTTTTTATGAGTATTCTCTACAAAACACTTACTTTTCTTATGGTAGTTCATCTATTTCACATCACAAGAGGAAATTGTAACTCATTGGAATAAGTCTAAACGGGAATATCAAGAATTAGGATCATTTCACATAAATAATGCATTTGGTGTTAACATTCTTTTTCATACCATTGAATCAAGTATTAGCGGCCTCCACAGTTGAACATCACCACTGAGCAGATTCAATATTTTTTATTTTAATCTTTACAGCATTGTCCATTATATATATATTTTTGCATTTTGGTTAACTGGATATTTGATGGGTTTTGCATGCACTGTTTTGTGCATATACCATTTGTATTCAAGTTAAACTCTTTTGGATTCTTGGCGTTCCTGATCATTTTTACCACAGTTTCACAATCATGTCATTCGTTTTCTTACTTTCACAAGTTAAAACAGCTGCGAACTGTTGATTTTCTAAGTATTTTTTGTTTGTTGGGAAAAAATGTACTATCTATTTTCGGTGAATATGGATATGATAATGGATCATGTTTCTTGAGAAAAAAGAGTTGACTATGGCCATAATGGAGAACCAAAACCAGGGCAAGCTGGCTGAAAGTGCCTTGTGAGTGACACTTTCTTTAAACATCCTTCCTCCTATTCTTTACTCACGCATACCAATTGCTATCCAGTTTTTTTCATTGAGCTGAATGTTTAGATCTATGCCATTCACCCATTATTTACAGCATTATACCAATTGTTATATGCCCTCTTTCGTACTTAACAGTTTCTCTTGTGTTTTTCTTGCATTTTACCTGTAACTGGTAGGGAAAGTTTGTGTATTTAATTGGCCTCCTATTGTTGGCTAATCTTTGAGAGTGATTTCTTCACCAAAAACATTTTTCTTTGGTAATTAAGTTTTTAAAGTTGTATGTGCAATTCAGTGCTAGATTTTTTTTCCAGCCAATAATTCAGTACTAGTTTAGTGCTCAACTTGTAGGCTTTTTCATGTTTGCAAAACAACTTATGCATTCCTATTAACACTTGGTCATCTATATTTTAAAGATGAGATGAATGATTGTTTACCATTGGTTTGCCTACAATTTAACAACTGAAGAACAGTGACCACCATGGTGGAAGAACTAGGGTTAGATCTGTTTATTTAAGTCTTTGTGAGTAATACAGTCGGTTAATCAGTACTGTAAATTATTATATCTGTTCACATTTTATAAAAAAAAAATTGATTCAGGTATCAAGCACAGCTGCAGCAGAACATAATGTATCTAGCAAAAATGGCTGACGCACAGGCACATAGATCAACATCTTCCCAGGTTGTCTTGGAGATTTCTTTGGTTTAATAGTTTTTGATAAAGCAATATGCAGTTCATTTATTTGATCTCATTTGTGAAAGATTGCAGATGCGTACGCAATCCACAATGCATCAAGAGCAACATGTCTAGTCCGCACAAGCTGCAATAGCCAAGCAGCATCCAGGTTTCTTATCTCCAAAGTTGCCTTCCCATTTGAATGATGATCAGCAGCAGGAGCAACCAGAGCAGCCAATATATCTCCAACAGCAGCAACTGAACCAGCCACAAGTGGGGTTAAGATCTGCTGCTTATCATGGGGTGCAACCGTGCAAGTTGGGATTGGTAACAATCTCATGAACATACAAGGAAACAAACAAGATAGCTCGGAAGATGGTGCGGGTGAAGGCTTCAGAAACTTTGCATATGGGAAACGCTAGGTAGAGTGAAAGCATGACCAATGCCGATAACCTGGTGTTCATCTAGTGTTGAGCTTTTCTGGTACTTCTCCGCCTCTAATGATCTGTTTTTCTTTTCGGTACCATGAAAAATGTGGAGACAATGGTAGGTGCATACATGTGGAGGCTAACTTGGTTCTTTTGTCATCTCTTTGGTTTAGTTGCTTTTGTGCTCGAATCTCACGGCACTATATTTGCTATCAGTGATTCAAATGATGCTATCTTACATGTAAGACAGAAGGAAATCTTCAGCATAATTAAAGAACAACTCAGAATTGAGGTAAACCAATTCGCTATTTTCTAGAAGATAATGCTGCATGGTACAAGACAACTATGTTCGACAAGCTTAAGTTAAAAAAAACACCCATTGACAGATTATCTTCAGCTACCTGCTGTTTCCCAACAAAACTTGAGTTAGACTTTCAAGGACCGGGAGCTTAGCTTTCAGCACTTGTCACATTTCATTCGTCAAAATTTGCTCCATTAATTTCAGTGGGATCCAAACTCTATTCTTGAAAATGGAAATCCCTTATAATCTTCAAGTTGAATGTCATCCATTTTTCAAATTAGCTTCTTTTGATTCTTTGAAGAGAACAAAAAGAAAAACAAGTAAAAGAGATTATGATAATAATCACTGGAGTGCTGTGTTTGCATGCAAATGCCCCAGAAATCATCGAAACATAACAAAAAAAGACAACATCTTCATATAAAAAATGAACAACTATTGTCAAGGTCAAACAGAAACACCACTCCAGGTTCAAGCTGCATGTAAAGCTAACTTTATGATAGTCAAGATCTGTCTTTAGAACCATACTGTCATTCACCAAGAAATAGAAAATGTCAATCAGGTGCAATACGCCACCTCATCGTTGAACCAAACAGCCGGCAAAACGAAAAAAAACATATTCAGTGAAGAACTGGAGGTGCGGAAAATTGAACCCACCGTGGTCGGGAAAGTTGATTGTTACTCCATTTTTGTATAAAACAAAAACGTATTTTTTAAAGTTTGGAGCTAGTCTTTGCATGGTGGTTATGATTATTGAGGATGTGAGAAATTGAACTCTAAGGAAACTGGTGGATTGGTAAACCTCACATTTTCTGGGCGGATGAAAAGGTTGTTCCTAAGAAATAAGAATCATGATGACAGTAACTACAAGGTAGGGTTTTAAAATCACGGTATCTTACACGTAAGGAAGAAGTGATCTTCAGCATAATTAAAGGATAACTCAGGATTGAGGTGAATTCACTGAGTCACTCGCTATTTCTACAAGATAATGCTGCCATGGTACAAGACAGTTAAGTTCGATAAGCTTAAGGAACAAAAACACCCATTGATAAATTATCTTCATCTGCCTGCTGTTTCCAGCACTTGTCACATTTGATCTGTCAAAATTTGCTCCATTAATTTCAGTGGGATCTTGAGATTTTCCGATCTGCAGTCCCAACAGCTGTGAATGATCAGCAGCATTTTTAGAGATGACAACACTCTGTATGCTCCATCATGTTGTTGGTTAGAAAATTACGTGTTGTTGGTTAGAAAATTACGTGTTGTTGGTTAGAAAATTACATGTTGTTGGTTAGAGAACGAAATGATTCTTAAGGTATTCCA